AATATGCACGAATTTATGGACTGAATCAATATATCAAGCTATATGGTGCCTATTATTAACCCCTTCATGTCGACTGTCACGTCTACGTGCCAGCAACGAACACACTCACTTCCTGGCCGACACGCAGGCGTGCCAGAGCGTTTTCCCGTTCAGCCCTGACTGTCACGTATTTGTGCCAGTGTCCTGGAACGTTTTAAAAACTATAATTTCTGCCACAAGATGGCACTGTATGTCCATATGGTTTCAGATACATGTACCAGGGTTCGTAGTGGTCCTTATAAGTCCTTATATTTGAAAATAAAATATAAAGGCTCTTATAGGTGTTTTTCTTTAAAGCCCTTATTTTTTGTTTTTAGTGCTTATTTTTTGCTTTTAGTGCTTTTTTTTTTTTAATGAACATGCTGTTTTTTCTCCTACCCAAGCCAAAACTAAATAAACAACTTTTCTTCCTAATATGGAATGTCAGATGGTGAATCATACTCCCGGAAATAGCTTTTTGCCCCTTTCTCTGCATTGACATAACCTTTGGTGTGCACGAAGAGTACAGACAGGTGCCCGTCGTTCTATTGGTCAAAGAATTGCGAAAGCAGTAGAAAATTCCGGTCCATTCGCCATTCTTTTCCTCCCACCCAAATACTACACACGTTTGAATTTCTATCAAGATCTTAATAATTTGCATTCTCGTTCCGCTTGGTCAGTTCATATTCATGTTTATTATGATCGTTATGCTTATATTATGAGCATATGTATGAATGTTTATAATAACATAGTTGCAGTAACTGCTGAAGTATAGTAAACTTCCAAAAATGGTTGTGTTTTAACACAAATTAGCTTTCTAAGGAATAATATTCGGAATGGCTTAAATAAAGGGAAAGTAATCGAATAGTCAAAATAATTTCATTTTTTTGGCCAATACATTATGCAGTACGAAGATTGGGAGGTTCTCTCCTTTCTCCGCAAAATCTCGAATATTGAAACTGTTACAGTTCGCTGCAAAACAAGCAACGGACTTTTTTTTTTTTTTTGGTCACTTTCCAATCTGGATTGAATAGAACTAAAAGTTCTGCGGTCTACCAAGCGAAGAATGATTCTGTTCTGGAAATTTAGCATCGTCTGTTGAAAATTAGAATGAAAAACACCCCAGTTATTTAGTTCTTCTATTCTCCCAATACCGGCAGCTGTTGATTCCGATTGCGTAATATCACGTAGGGAAGAATTACCTGGCGCACGTATTGCGCAATAACGTTTGCGATATTTGGCCGAGATAATTAATTAATTTTGATGTTCTATCCAAGATTTGTTTATGAACACTTAAAAGAGTTTTACTGTGCTTGCTAAGCAGAATATTTTTCAGTTCCATTGGTTTATTTTTATATGATGCACATATAGAAATGTCAAAAGCATTTATTTAGCGGAAAATCTAAAGAGCAGCTACAGTCTACCCCTCCGCTCCTCTTTTTTCAAGTTACGCTCGACTGTTCGAATATTCGCCAATTTCCAAGTATGCGGGTTAGTTAAGATTTTACTGTTAAAGGATGACTGCATGAAGCAAATTTCTGTCTTCTGATTTCAGAAATGTTCCTCTTGTTTACTTAAATTACTTTGCTTGCAGTATCTGTTAAGAGAAAACTGATATACAATGAAAATTTAGAAAATGTTCAAAATAAATTGTATTTATTATTAGGTTCCAAGCGAATACAATAAATATGCCTTATTATTATTTATTTTCTCTATTTTGAACTGAAATTTCATCATTAAATCTTGTAATATAGTTTAGTTCTGCATAGTTTTTTTTTTCTCTCATTGTAAACTAGTTCTGTAAATTGAACTGTTATTTAAAATTTAAAAAAAAAGAATTATTTTCCATGGTTGAGGTAATGCTTATTCTCTCTTAATAAATACTGCATTTTTCATATTTTAAATTACAAGTCTAGTTTTTAAGGTTATGCAGTTGTGTATAATGTAATTAGACAGATGCTTATTTTTTTTTTTCTTAAAATGTTCTTGAAAAGTGCTTATAGGTGCTTATTTTTTAAAGTAAAATGTGGCTATGAACCCTGTGTACATTAGACCTTTTACTCGAAATGAGAGAAGCATGACTCGCATACACGTTTTTGATTATATAAACAAAAGGTGAAATAAATGTTTCCGAATGGCGTGATTTATGACGTCTCTTTAAATTCGCATGTGGTAGTTGTTTATTGTAAGTAGAGAAGTTTTATTTTCACTAAAGCGTTGGGTATTTCGGTTTGCAGTTCAGTTTTTAGAAAATAATTAGATCTTGTTAGACGTGAATTCTTTCTGTTTTTACCATTGCAATGTCGAAGCGTCGAAAATGTTTAATAGAGCATGAAATAGCAAAAATGATGCAAAATATTTCAGATATCGATTCTGAAACAGATTCTGATAGTAGTGATAGTGATACTATGATATATTCTGATCATTTCGAAAACTTTGTTCAGAAGAGACTGATAAGAAAATGAGACGACGATGCTTCGTTTGTTCACATTCCCGGAAAAATCCTCCAAAACTTCAAATGAGTTATTACGAGTGCAAGGAATGTAACGTAGGACTGTGTGTAGATCCCTGTTTCAAATTTTTCATACGAAAAGAGAATTTTAAGTAATATATTTAGTTTTCAGATGTATAATGTGAAAAGTCATAAAATGGTGAGTAATGAAAATAAAATGTGTAAAATATGCATTTAAACAAGAAATAAGGTAATTAAAGTATGTATAAAAATATCTATAAAGCATAAGCTGTTTAAATACTCTATAGAGCATTATTAAACAATGCGTTGATACTTCGGAAATTTCATGGATTTAGGCTTAAAAGCAAAAAAGCCCCCGGCCTTGGACAGACGCTCGCGTAAGACACTGCCGACTTCCGCGATAAGCACGCGTTTGCGCTACCCGGCGCGAAGGGGTTAACACTTAACATATCGTATGCAATGGACCTGCAGTAATTGTACGAGTAAAATGCACTTCTATTCAACAGAAACCCGTTGGTCATCCAAATTGCAGTCTAATAATATGTGTACCCAGTTCCTTCAAATTTTTTTTACCAAATTACGTACATTTTTTATGGAACATGGGATTAGTCTCGTGATTTCGCCGATAAACTCGCAATGCTTCGGCAGTATTTCCCTCCCATTCAGATAAAACAACTTTATCAATTCACCTTGTTGTTTACCTGTGTCATATCTTGTTAGCACGTTCGAATACCTGATTGAATAAACAATCTTCCCACACTGCTTTGAAAGGTTTTCCCATAAGCAATGCTTTGCACTTGATGTTCTATGATTAGTGCTTCTAACAACTATCCCTGTGGTTTATGCAAAGAATGTCAGTGCACTTTCTCTCTGTATTGTCGTTGGTCCTCTACAATGCTGATTTTTGCAAATGTTTTATGCTGGTAATTTTCATCATGTGTGTAAACCCATTTATGGTTTTCATTGCGATGATTAATAAAAGCCCGGGAAAAAGTGGGTGTTGCCATTCGAAAATTTCAAAATTTTTTCATTGTAAGCCGTGAGATGGTTTTAAATCATCACGATATCGAGAGCATATCTCCAAGTAACAATATCTGAAATTTCATTTCTATTGATTGAGCGGAATATGCCGCTAGGGATTCGGATATTTGGAAGCTTTTTTTATGACCAACATGACCTGACTTAGCCTAATTGGGGCCTGGAGCAAAGACTTCTTTGGGGCCCCGTTCTGCTTTACTACTTCGGTATGAAGAACTGAATTTTATGGAGATATTTAAATTTTTATAATAATAAACTTTCTATTCAATTTGAGGCTCCCCTCTGACGTGGGAGCCCATATGCCCCTGCCTTAGTCAGGCTCTGATGACCACCCTGCAAATATATATATACAAGTATGTAAGAAAAATAAAGGATATGTAAAAGATTAAATTAGCAATTCTAAAGCTAGTAACTCCTCTCTGCACTGCGTCATTTCTAGATGAATCCATGTCATTAGATTCTTACATAATTCTGATGATGTAAATGGAACTAAAACTCAGACAGCCAACAGTAATTTTACAGAAGTAGTAACAATCTAATCAAAAAGCATCAAGACCGAAAACTAACTCAGTCTGACTTAAGATTTCATCCTGAACATTACGAACATTGCTTTCTACGCTTTGGCCTAGCTGGACTGCAGTCTGTCTGCTCCTTCTTTTTTACTGCAAATCTATCAAAAATGTAAGCTTTTTGGAATAGGCACAATTAATTGCCAACTTTTTTGTGGTCGCACATGTTTGCTGAAATAAAAAACAAATATTTAATCTGCCTTCGCCTCCAGTTTCTATTCATTATGTATCAACACTTCTATGGTATCAAAGTTTCTGCTGGTCATTCACTTCTGGCTTTGTTTTTATCACATATATATATGCATATTTATTTATACATGTGTGTGTGCAAAATAAAAATTTATTATGGGGCTTCTGTGCAAGAATTAATTACCGATGACCACCAAGATATAAATACTAAAATTATCCATAATATTCCTGAAGCAAATTACAAAATAATATTCAACAGGTATCATAAATATAAATTAATGCTTGCAATATCAGGAAAATGTAGCGGTTAACTAAAATAAATATTTTATCAAACAATTACATGGAAAAACAAATTTTAAAATATATATTTTTTTGTGTAAATTATTTTAAACTGCAGTAGCCCTCTGACAGTAAGCCAAGAGTCTCGTGGAGATAAGCTTGTACACTTATAAGAAAGGGAAGTAACAGAACGATCAGCAGTGTAGTTTAAGTTGCCTCTGTTGCTTAATAATGTCTGACACTCACTGATTTCATTTTGAGAGGGTGCAAAATAGCGGATTCTAAATAAGTATCAAACCTCGGACATCCAGATAGGAAATAAATGTCTTACCAAAACTTTAAAATCAAAAGATTCCCATAACCATAGTGGCCTATTAATTAGTGGTCTTTGGCAAAGAGCAAGTCTGTAATTTGCATTCCTAATGAGACTCAACTTCATTTAATATATGTATTTATTATGACATTAATGTATTGACAAAATAATAAATTTCTTCATATTGATAACTTAATTGTCTCACTGTGTTTATCACAACTTCTCTTTCTACATACTTCTATACCAGATCTTTTCTTCAGAGCTGGAGCAGTCAAAAGAACTTTTTGTATCCGGAAACTGTTAGAAGATCTACCACCATCAGAGTGAGAAGCACAAATACTGATAGTCCTAATGTCATTATAACTGTTGCTGATCTGATAGTGACTCCAAAGAGCTTGGACTATGAAAAGAAAGGTCTAAATAATTATATGAAATTTAATAATTATCATATACAGGATAATTACCTTCTAAAACAATCATTAGATTCTCAAAAAATGCTTGTTGTGCAAATTCATATTATACAAAACAATAAGCACAAGAAATATAATTTGAAAACTTAACTGCATTTTTTATAATATTGAAAATGCATTTATTAAAATGCTGACAGATGATTGATCTTTTTAATAATTGATTGACATTTTCTGGAGAGCAGTGGTTATAGTTACAGAAAGTGTTTACTCATTTTTAGAATGATTTGGGGGGTCTTTTAATTAATGCTTAAACTGTAAAGTGTATTATTTTAAATATTCTGTACTATTAACCTGCATCGTGATTTCTAAGATAGGAGGGCTTTTCTTAAAATTCCCATTTCCATTACTTTCCTGTGTCCATCAAGCGTGTTAGGTTTGCACTTATCAAGAGACTAGCTGTAAAATAGTCAGGTGAAACATCAGGGGACTTCACAGCAATACATTCTAAAGGTATATATGCAATACCTGTATACGTCTTTATTTTTTCAAGATATGCAGTAGTACTTTTTGAAGTATGAATTTCTGCTTTGTCTTGATGAAGTTTCACTCTTTGAAAGTCACTGGGATAAAGAAATTGAATTTTTTATGTAAATATCGGACATAAAACTTTTCTCTTCACATTACGTTGAGTTGATTTTAATATTTCCCCCTCCTCATCTTATTTTAATTTCCAACTGTAAGAAAATTCTGTGGCAATCATAAATCCCTTACTGAAACTTTTTTTTTTTTTTTTTTTTTGTATTGAGAGGAACTAGGTTTATACACTTCTTTTCTCTTTGTCTTCAATAGTAAACAGGTTTTTTTTTTTTTTTTTTTTTTTTTTTTTTCCAAGTCATTTAGGTAAACCCATACTTCATCATCAGTCACAATGTATTTCCATTTATCTCCTGCTAAATAATTTTCATACAAGGTTCTACAAATTGTTTTGCGTTGAGCTAAATGCCTCGTAAAAGCTGGTGAATATTGTATTTTTTAGCTTTTCTAAGTTGTAAATCTTGGTTTATTTTCTTATTTATTGTTGCTACTGAGGTATTTAAAAACTTTGCAACTGATTTCTGCATCGCCAGATTTTCTCTTGTTAACAACGATTTAAGTTAAGAAACATTAGAAATGGAATGTACTTTTTTTTTTTTTTTTTTTTTTTTTTCCCTTTCCCATGTAGAAATAATGATTGGTGGTTTTTCTCTTTCCAATTCGTAATGTTGCTTATTTTTGCACATAGAAATTTTTAAGTATCATGCATTTCACAATGTTTTTGAAATTCTTAATAGAAATATTTTTCTTCGGAAAGTGCAAATCATAATATTCAATCCACAGCTTATTTACATGCAACATTTTGAGAGAAGAATAAATTTAAAAGTAGTAGATGATATTTCAAATAAGCTGTTGAAAGAAATTTTTATTCCAAAACATTTGCTTTTTTAAAATTCTTTATGGAAATCATTCTAAAGATATGTAAACTAAATAATATATACTGTTTTACTGTATTGAAAACTTTTTTTAATGATCTCAACAGATCCTTTTCAAATTTCATAGTATGAAAATAAATAAGTAATTATTATCACTATGTGTTTAGAACTCTCTCGATATGTGGAGATTACTGAATACATTGAACAGATATATTGTCTGAAATATTATTACTTAGTTTGCATAAAATGATATGTCTAATTAGTAATTATTATACATATGTTTACATAACAATATTTTTATTAATAAGATAATTTATGAAACTGGAAAATTGGCATTTCTATATTTGAAACAAAAGGAAAGACTGGCTTGGATTCAATCATGATGTCTCGTTTAACTGTGCATTTATCTAATATAACTTTATTTTGGAACTATGTGTAATTATTAGTTTACATATCGTATACATGCAGGCCATATCGACTGTATATACAGCAGCAAGTTTCAAGAGATTAGTTTGATTGAAGCACAATGCAAATGTATTTTTGTTGGAAATGAAAGAGTAAATGAAGAAATATAGATACTGCTTAGTGCTGTATTTCTTATTTTTTTGAAGCGGCGACCACTGGGCCAATTATTCTCGCCCCCTTCAACAATAATTTTTTTTAGCATATGTTATTATCAGTGTGCTTACATTTTTAAAACCCAATCAATTAAAATGCATTTAATTGTTTGGTGTTAAATAATTAAATTAACAGAAGAAAATTTATATTCGTTTTTTAGTAATTCAAGATTATTAAAGTTCAGATAACCTTTTTCGGTACTTTTCCGTTTCGCCGGCGCAAATCTCGCTAAGCAGACTTTGTTGGCGACAACATTACAGTATACACATAAAAAATTTTAACAAATGTTAGGTGTAAGAATTTTTTTTATTTTGAAGGCGTAAACATTTTAATATGGTTTAAAATTTTCAAAAAAAGTCCAATAAATAAAGGAAATAGATTTGTAAAAAGGCATTAATTTAAGAATTTACTATGCTTTCATGGTTCAATATCCTGATTCGCCGGTTCGTATCACGTGACCCCAAGTGATCTCATCTCACGTAAACTACGCTACAAAAATCTAATTAATTCTCTCAGTAATTATCTACATTAATTTCAAGTTAAATCTTAATTTGGAATACAAGTTTAAGCATATTTAAATGCAAGAATAATTTCAATTCGTACGAATAGCTTACTCAGAAATTATGTAAAACCGCAATGCTTTACTTCGCTAGTGTATGCTTATTAGAATTGATGAATTTAACCCTGATTTTGCCTTTTCTCCATTTCGCCTTCGGGTGAGCGATTTGATTGCATCCTAACTGACTTAATTACCGCGAATCGTCTTGGGGCATAAAATTTAATTATCTTTGTAAAAAATCTATGTAATTGTATGCCAGTATTGAAAGACGATAAATCTGATAAGACATGGCTGCGACTTGTTTTGAAAATGAGGCGTAAAAGTTACCAGCGAAGATATTCTGTTTAGCATCAGTTGTACCATTATTGGCGACTTTATCCTTTGCACCGGCAAAACGGAAAAGTACCCCTTTTTCTTATTAACTAAAATTAAAGTAAGTATTGATACTCACATTAATGATATGGATGTGCCTTCCGATTCTTGCATGACTGTTCTATGTTTGAATATATGCTGGTAAGAAGAACGATAGTCATAATGCTTTAAATTTCTCTTTTGTTACTAAGTCTAGCTCGAAATGTCCTTAAATAAACCAGCAATAAATTTTTATAAAATATCATTCTTGAGAGAGAAAAACATGGTAAACGATTGCCACATGTAATTTCTAGATGGTGATATTTTCAGCTATAGTGTGCTACAGATAATTTTTTGTGATTTTTAGAAATGTAGGAAGACCACAGATGGAGAAATGCTGGCTTAATGATAAAACTTTCTATATAAATGCTGATCAGCATCTTTTTCAAAATTGTACAGATATTTGAATATGTTTTAATGCTAAGGACAACTACAAAACAGAGCAAAAATAACTTACCCTGAGAGTTGCGCCATTTACAAACAGTACAAATGAGTCAAGTTCTAACATAGAACAAGCTTGGTAACCAAATACTCTCATTTCGAAAGATATTTGACGTAATTTGCTTCCAATCCGCGTAAGTCTTGCAGCCTAAAAGCAAAATTATTTCCAATTATATTTAGCTACATGATGTATTTCCGCCATTCAGAACTGAATATGTAGTTTATATTTGTTTAATCAAGATTTTTTTATTATTATTTATTATTCATTTATTTGTTCATAGCACTTACTATGAACAGGGATGACTAATGTTGTTTCAACTGTTGGCTGGCTATTTTTATTGCTCTCAATAAGATTTTCTTATCTGATGAAAAATTCAAGTAATTTAGAATATATTGGACTTTTTCAAGAGCCCTTCTTGGGAGGAGCATTTTGGTACCATTTTCCAAGGGATCCGACAATTATTTTGGATTTTTTCAGGAATTTCTAGACTTTGCTGAAAACGTTTAATTCATCAACAACAGTGCGTTGGATTTCATATTGAATTCAACATTTCAGCTCCTGAAACTTTAATTTCTCTCTTATTTGGATTAATTTTACTACTTTGGATGTAATATGGATTTTTCCCACCTGTTTTTCGAAGTGTTGGACTGAGACACCCTGCTTATACAACATTTTAAAAGACCCTGAAAGATTAGGATAAGTTGCTTACACATTACATTTGTATCAAGTATTTTCAATATTTTCCTATATTTACTTGTTGTATTTTATATTTGTAATCGAAAAGTATGTCAGTTATTAATTTTAATACTCCTGTATTATTTTAATTATTCTTCACCTGCCTGAATTCATATTCTTTCAACTTATAATTTTATATAAGACAGTTATATTGCAATATACCATTGTTCCTCTAAATCTGTTAAAATGTTGATTTACTAATTCTTTGAAATTTAAATAATAGTTGCCATTTAATATAAAATTTTCATTGCACGCTGACTTCAGCAATTATTCAAAACTTTGTTTATTTTTAACTATTCATATAATTTAAACAAGGATACTTGCGCAGTGCAGATACAAAGTGAGTATGCCTAAAACACGAAACACGGAGCGAAAAGGCTATCAAAGTCAGGACAGCGAAGGGCAGTCCATAAGACATAAAAGCAAAGACAGAGGATGTCTGTCAAGTAAGTCTAAAAGGCAAGACAGCCGAGAAAAAAATTCGTCATCAGATGCAGCTCCACAAACAGAACAGGATATCACAGAATTAAAGACAGAGACGCAAGTAGAAGGAGATCTACGTCCGACGAAGATCATCTTAGTGTCCAAGAGTTACAAGTTTAGGTTACTTGACGGAGTTAGACGGAATCTTAAATTCCGCAGACATACACAAAAAGGTAACAAAAAAGATAAAGGAGCACTTTGTTAAAGTTCTTAATATAATTACCAAAAAGAACATGCAGATAGCAAACTTAGAAGGACAGTTAGGGAATACAAAATGGATAGAAGACTATATAACTGGCGTTACAAGCATAGCAAAGCCCACATATGCCAGCATGGCACAAAGAGGTAGATCGAGATCCAGATCACAGACGAGAGCACAAAACACCCAAGAATACGTCACGATAGTTTATCCCAAATCTGACATGACATCAGAAGAGGTACGTGAAAAAGTAGTTAGTAACATAGACCCAGCACGCCTTAAAGTCGGGGTCAAAGCAGTTAGAAAAGTAAGAAAAGGAGGGGTTCTGATAAAAGTAGACAAGAAAGAGGAACTAGACATTCTGGAAGATGCGATAAAAGAAAACTCTCTAAGTTAAAAGAGATTGTAGAGACTAAAAGACCAATTAAAGTCAATCCTAGGATAGTAATATACAACGTAGACAAAGACCTTGATAAGGACTTAATAAAAGAGAAAATCTTAACTCAAAATCCAGGGATAGAAAACGCTGAGATAGCAATACTTTTCCATATGAAAGGCAGATTCGGTAATAACTGGGTAGCCTCTATAGACCCGACCAGCTTCAAAGCAATAATGGAGACTAAGAAAATTAATATACAGTGGACCAGGAATAGTGTCAGGGAATTCATTCAAGTTTCTCAATGCACAAAATGCTTAGGCTATAACCATTCAGCAAAAAACTGTACAGCACATCCTCGGTGCACAAGATGCGGATCAGAAGAGCACTTCAAAAATGAGTGTAACAGACAAACTCCTAGATGCATTAACTGCCACAATGTTAATACAAAATTCGAAACAGGACTGGAAACAAACCACAATAGTAGAAGTAAACATTGCGCATGCTTCATTAAGGAATTACAAAGGTATAAGCAAAGAATAAATTATGAGTAATTTCACAGCAATTCAGATAAATCTTCAGCACTCAAGGGGTGCGACTACATACTTAAGAGACTACTTAGAAACAAATAGTTATATAAAAATAGCATGCATTCAAGAGCCCTACACAAAAGACGACCAAATACGTGGTTTTCCACTACACTATAGGAAGTATTACGCAAAAAATAGGGCAAAAGCAGCAATTATCTTAACAGATAGCAGAATCCCAGCATTAGAACTGTACAGCAACGAGTCAATATGTGTAATTAGGATAGAGGGGAGTACCCCATTCATTATGATATCGGTCTATTGTCCGCCTTCACAAGACATAGATCCAATTCTCAGCACATTAGAAAGTCAAATAGCGAATCAAAAAGACATCCCCATCATTATCAGCGGGGACTTTAATTCTAAACATTCAATATGGAGCCCAAATCACCCAGATCCAAGAGGATTCAAGGTATGTGATTTCTTGGCTACCACAGACATGAGTATCTTAAACGATCCGGAAAGCCCCCCCGCAACATTCTCAGGAGCCAGAGGGACTTCCTGGATCGACCTGACACTTCTCAAAAGACATAATCAATTAGCAATCATAAATTGGAAAGTTATAGAAGAAGCAAACCTAAGTGATCATAATTTTATAACCTACGAAATAACAAATATAGAAGAAGGGCATAACTTAAATCTTAAAATGAAACTCTCCCAGGTGGACTGGCTAGAATTCAGACACACGATAAAAAGTAAATTTCAAAATAGCAGCGACAGCAGATTAAGAAATATAAAAGACATAGACAAACAAATAGAAGACACCACCGTCCTCATTCAGGAGACATACGACGCAACAAAGAAAACGCAAGTAGGCCAAATCCGACACACCACAGAAGCAATCCATGGTGGACAAAAGAATTAAACATCCAAAGAAAGAAGGTACGAGCCCTAAGGACGCCGTTACCACCGGGCTCCTGATTCAATAAGGAAAGATTTCCGTCTTAAATATAAGATCGAACAAGCTAAATATAAGAAAATAATTTTCCAAAGCAAAAAGAGCTTCATGGGACGCATTTTGGCAAAGCCTACAGATCACATCCCCCTTTGGCACTTATTATGATATTGCCAAGGGCAAAAGATTAGGTCCCTCCAACTAAGTGCCATCCAAAAGGGTGACGGCACCCTAACTTCCACCATCGAAGATACATTAAAAGAAATTCTGTTTCCACTTTCCCGACGATCCAAGCGTCAATGACACGGATGAGCACAGACTAATAAGACAGAAAGCAACGAGTCCCATAGACACTCCACATGATGTAGACTTTACGAACATAGAGATAAGAAAAGCAATAGAAAGCACAAAGAGAGGCAAAGCGCCAGGGTTGGACAGGCTTAACATAGACTTCGTAGATGAATTGCGACTAGCCAATGAGGATCTCTTAACCCAAGTATTCAACGCCTGCCTTCATACAGGATATTTTCCACGTGCATGGAAAAATGCAGAGTTAGTTCTCTTCAAAAAGGAAGGAAAGAACCCCAAAGACCCCAGCGCCTATAGGCCGATCTGCCTCCTCTCGGCCTGGGGCAAAGTTCTCGATAAGCTTCTGACACAGCGTCTAGTACATCACTTAGACTCAAATAACCTACTGCACAAAGCACAATACGGATTTAGAAAAGGTCAAAACACGATAGATGCCCTTGAGAACCTACAAAAGATCATCAACGAGAACAAAACAAATGGGCTACACACATGCGTCATAGCTCTCGACGTCACCTCGGCCTTTAACAGGCTCTGGTGGCCAGGTCTAAAGGAACAATTAATAAGACTCAGATGCCCCAAGAATATCTACAGGCTAACTAAGCAGCTATCTTCACGATAGAGTTATAACTTACCAAAGAGACGGTGTTCACATCACACACACTTACCAAAGAGGAGCGCCACAGGGGTCTAACATCGGCCCGACCCTGTGGAATATCATGGCTAATACGGCTTTAGAATTAGATTTGGAAGACACAGCAAGTCTTCAAGCTTATGCTGACGACTTCATCTTAGTAATTAACGGGGGGTAACAGACTTATTATAGAACGGAAAGCAGAGAAAGCTCTCTCCATCATTTCTGCGTGGAGCTCAAAGTATAAACTAGATTTTAGCATAAATAAAACTAAGATGATAATCTTTCCAAAGGGCAACAAGATAATTAACAGTCCCCCCAGGATAAAATGGCACGGCCAAACATTAAAGAACCAGGGCACTCTCAGATACCTCGGCTTCCTATTGGATAGCAAACTAACGTGGGTTCCCCACCTATCAGATATAAGGAACAAGACTTGCAAGATAATAAATACTTTAAACCGAATAATAGAGTCCAAATGGAACTTAAAAGGTAGACTAATTGAAAGACCTGTACCTAAGGGGAGTCGAAAGAATGATTCTCTACGGCTGCCCCGTATGGATGCAGGGCACAGTAAGACAAAGACAAAAACTACAACAAATCCAGAGGATCGCCCTGTTAAAGATTACAAAAGCTTTTACTACCACCTCCACTGCCGCCCTCCAGATCCTAGCCGGCACACTCCCATTAGATCTCAAAGCGGAATTCGAGCGAGTCACATACAGACTTCTGCACTTCAAAGAATCAGCGACATTAGAGGGTTCCATTCTCCTCGAAGAAGCACTTTTAGAACCATGCTTCAGTACAACATCCCTACATCCAGCCTCCCTCAGAGACTTCCGATGGGACAAACATCCCCCGTCCGATCAGGGTTTAGAGATCTTTACCGACGGGTCTAAAGACGACACAAGAGTAGGCGCTGCTTTCGCAGT